TAACCAAGTGCTGCTTGGCTTCTCTTTTGAGAGTCAGACATCCTCTGGTAAGCCTCTGATTTTCATATTATGGATCTTTATTGTGTATGAGCAGCACATATTCACTGAATTTTCACTGACACATCTGAGATATTGTTAAAATACATGGCATATTTAATATTTTTTCAGGAATAGCAGAGGCATGTGTGTAATGTGAGTATACACTATATTGCCAAAAGTATTGGGCACCCCTCCACATCATTGGATTCAGGTGTTCCTATCACCTCCATGGCCAAATATGTATAAAATCAAGCACCTAGGCATGCCGATTGCTTCTACAAACATTTGTGAAAGAATGGGTTGCTCTCAGGAGCTCAGTGAATTCCAGCGTGGTACCGTGATAGGTTGCCACCTGTGCAAGTCCATCCATGAAATTTCCTTCCTACTAAATATTCCACGGTCAACTGTTAGTGATATTATAACAAAGTGGAAGCAACTGGGAACAACAGCAACAGCTATGAAGTGGTAGGCTACGTAAAATGACAGAGCGGAGTCAGTGCATGTGCAGTGAAGCACATAGTTTGCAGAAGTTGCCAATTGTCTGCAGAGTCAATAGCTAAAGACCTCCAAACTTCGTGTGGCCTTCAGATTAGCACAACAACAGTGAGTAGAGAGCTTCATGGAATAGGTTTCCATGGCCAAACAGCTGCATCTAAGCCTTACATCACCAAGTGCAAAGCATTGGATGCAGCGGTGTAAAACACACCACCACTGGACTCTAGAGCAGTGGAGACATGTTCTCTGGAGTGACGAATCATGCTTCTCTGGCAATCCAATGGGTCTGGGTTTGGCAGTTGCCAGGAGAAAGGTACTTGCCTGACTACATTGTGCCAAGTGTAAAGTTTGCTGGAGAGGGAATTATGGTGTGGGGTTGTTTTTCAGGGGTTGGCCCCTTAGTTCCAGTGAAGGGAACTCTTAAGGCATCAGCATACCAAGAGATTTTGGACAATAATCACTCCCTTGTTATATCTCGGCTTGACTATTGTAACGCCCTCCTCATTGGCCTACCTCATCGCGGGCTATCCCCTCTTCAGTCTATCATGAATGCTGCTGCCAGACTCATCCACCTTACTAACCATTCTGTATCTGCCACCCCTCCGTGCCAATCCCTCCACTGGCTTCCCGTTGCCCAACGGGTAAAATTCACAACACTAACAATAACGTATAAAGCCATTTATAACTCTGCCCCAAATTACATCACCGATCTTTTCTCTAAATATCACCCAAACCGTACTCTCCGCTCCTCGCAAGACCTCCTACTCTTTAGCTCCCTTGTCTCCTCCTCCCATGCTCGTCTCCAGGACTTCTCCAGAGCTTCCCCCATCCTCTGGAACTCTCTGACCCAATTTATTAGACTATCGCCTACTCTGCTCACTTTTAGTCGATCTCTGAAAACCTATCTCTTCGGGGAAGCCTATCCTGCCCTCAGCTAATACTGGAATCTTCTACTCTTCCAACCAGTCCATCCCCCACAGTTACTACCTTTTTTGCCACTAGCCCCTCCCTCCTAGATTGTAAGCTCCAAGGAGCAGGGACCTCAAAACCCTCTTGTATTGAACTGTATTGTTTCCCATTATATTGAAAAGCCCTGAGCAAACTGTTGGTGCTATATAAATCCTGTATAATAATAATAATAATAATAATAATAATAATCATGCTCCCAACTTTTTGGGAACAGTTTGGAGATGGTCCCTTCCTGTTCCAACATGACTGACCACCAGTGCACAAAACAAGGTCCATAAACACATGGATGAGCGAGTTTGGGGTGGAGGAACTTGGTTGGCCTGCACAGGAGTCCTGACCTCAACCCGATAGAACACCTTTGGGGTGAATTAGAGTGGAGACTGTGAGCCAAGCCTTCTTGTCCAACATCAGTGCCTGACCTTGCAAATTCACTTCTGGAAGAATGGTCAAACATTCCCATAGTAGACACACTCCCAAACCTTGTGGACAGTCTTCCCAGAAGAGTTGAAGCTGTTATAGCTGCAAAGGGCGGGACAACTCAATATTGAACCCTATGGACTCAGACTGGGATGCCATTAAAGTTACAATACTTTTGGCTACAGTACCGTACCATTAAATACAATGCCTAGGGAAAGTAAATAGCATATTAAGATAACACAGACCTTTCATGCTTTGCAACTCATTGCAATCTGATTTGGCCAGCTTCTCACTGAAGGGATCTAGTGGAAATATTGTTACATAATGGTGTGCTGTGTCTCATACTTCACTACACATGGACAAGGCTTCAGATAGCTGATTGAATTAGCAGTTTAAGAGATTTAGCTACTACAGCAGGTTGCACTACAATACAGAACAGGAGCTCTTGATACCCCTGAAACACATAAGCCTCACTCACACATGCGGCACTCTCCAACGTCTCTATAAAAATTGATCTGCAATGGACCGTTTTGCAGAGGGCACTAAAGCAGAAGGTACCAGGCATTCGGGAGAAGTTACTGCTGCCTCCTGGATGCCCATTTTTTTTACCTGAACTGGGAAATTGTATTAAAAACCACATTGCAACTGTAAATGAAGCATATGGTTCGTGGCTGTGGCATGGCCCTATTCACTTCGGCACCATGCTGTTATATTTTTGCCACGCCGTGATACAAAGCACTGCAGCTATAGCAAGGTGTACTACCCCCTCCCACCACCATTGCTCAGTTTAGGTGGGCAAACAGAGGTGACAAAAAATGCAGTTCAACTGCCTGTTTATACTGCCCACCCTGGTTGTGTGTGTGTGAATGAGTGTGCACGTTGCAGAGACTCACACAGGACCCCAAAAGTCCCATCGGCGCAGGGGGTACAGAGATAATGAGAATGCTGCAGTGCAGCAAGAGAACAATTGAAAAAGGAAGCATGTTATTTTTATCTGATTTAAGGACAAAAATACATTTTTCAACTTTCTTTTTATTAACCATTTTTTGTTAAGAAAAAAAAAAAAAAGAGAAAAAACATATACAATAACAAAATACAGTAGGATGAGACATCCAAAAGGGCAATGAATGAGTGTATGTACCATATTAATAATACAAATCACATAGCAGTGATCCAAGAAATATCCATCAAGAAAACCATCAGCATTCCAAAAAGAGAATTGAGCTTAAAGTGATTGTAAATGATTATTTTAAAAAAATAAATTAATAATAATAACAAACAGGTTTATACTTACCTGCTCTATGTAATGGTTTTGCACAAAGTGACCGTATCCTCTTCTTCTCGGGTCCCCTGCCAGTGCTATTGGCTCCTCTTCTCGGTGCTACCCCATAGGAAAATAATTCCTATGGGGGTCAACCTATGTGGTCGCTCCCGAGCCCCGCTGTCTGCGTCTGTAGACACAGACATCGAGACTTGGTCCCGCTCTCCCCACACTGCCTTGTCAAAGGTTTTGATTGACAGCAATGGGAGCCAATGGCTTCTACTGAAGTTTCTGAGCCAAGAGAGAGATAGAGAGAGAGACAGCAGCTCTGCTGATCATGGGCATAGCACAGGATTGAGATTGAGTTTAGGTGAGTAATTGGGGGAGGAACTACATTCGAAAAGTTTTCACCTTAATGCAAAGAATGCATTAAGGTAAAAAAACCTTTAACCTTTACAACCACTTTAATAGAGATATCAACCTTATAACGTTGTTGATGTAAAAAAAAAAGGATATCCAGACACAACCATCATCATGTAAATACCCATTGACATGCAAAGTGAAAAAATCTGCTGTATTATAAATGCTACAGCCACCTTGCTTATGCAAAAGAAAGATGTAAGGAAGAGGGAGAAAAGAAAGAAAAGAAGAGGAAGAAGAATCGGGAAGAGGCGAGACTCACCTTACCGGACACCATAACACAACCCTGAACAGACAGAACACCAGAGGCGGAACATCAATGATACAGACGTGGTTCCAAGAGATGTTAAGGACGCCAGATCTTATTGAACTTTGAAATCTTGTTGTGTAGATAAGCCGTCAAGTACTCTATATTGCAAACATCATGGATGAGTTTATAAAATCTGTGCGGCAACTGTTGCTTCCATTCAATGCTATTAGACATCTAACAGCAGGTAAGACATGATTAATCAGTACAGCAGCTTTTTTTGCTGTATTTGGGGAAGAAAATACTTTAATGCCAATTTAAGGCCAGGTTCACACCTGCCTGCACTGTGCGGGGTGGTTGCAGGTGTGGGAATCGCAGCTGTTCTCGCGCTCAAAACCAAATCACGCTGCTTTTAAGAGACGCGGGGCTGCCATTCCTTCTTAATGGCACCCCCATGCATCTCAACCTGCAGCTTGTTTGCGGGTTCCAGGAACTGCAAGGAAATCACATGGTAAAAAGCACTATGTGATTTCCCTGCGCCCACATTTTGAAAAAGCTCCATGCGCCTTTTTTCTGTGGTGAACATGGGCACAGCAGTCCATTCAAATGAGCACACATCCAAGTGTGAACCTAGCCTTAAGTATGTTTAACCCCTTGCCTACAGGGCACTTATACCCCCTTCCTGTCCAGGCCAATTTTCAGCTTTCAGCGCTGTCACACTTTGAATGACAATTGCACGGTCATGCAACACTGTACCCATATGAAATTTTTATCATTTTTTTGAGACAGATAGAGCTTTCTTTTGATGGTATTTAATCACCTCTGGGTTTTTTATTTTTTGCTAAACAAACCAAAAACTGAAAATTTAAAAAAAAGTTTTTTCTTAATTTTTGTTATAACATTTTGTAAATAAGTGATTTTTTCTCCTTTACTGATGTGCGCTAATGAGATTGCAGTGATGGGCACTGATAGGCTGCACTGATGGGCACTGATAGGTGGCACTGATGGGCATTGACAGGCATCACTGATGGGCACTGAAAGGCAGCACTTATATATGGCACTGATAAGCAGCACTGATAGCGGCACTGACTGGCACTGTTAGGCGGCACTGACTGGCACTGTTAGGCAGCACTGATAGGCAGCACTGACAGGCACTGATAGGCGGCACTAATAGGTGGCACTGAATGGCATTGATAGGTGACACTGACAGGCAGCTCAGATGGGCACTGATATGTGGCATTGATGTGCACTGGTAGGCACTGATATGTGGCATTGTGGCATGTGGCACTGTCAGGTGGCATTGATGAGCACTGACAGCTGGCATTGATGGACACTGACAGGTGGCACTGCTGGGGCTACACTGATCATCAGGGCACACTGATCATCAGTGCCCTGATGATCAGTGTACATGTCCCCTCTGTGGAATGCTGATTACCGGCTCTCCTCTCCTCTCGAGCTGTCAGTGTGACAGCTCGTGAGGAGAGAAATACTGATAACCGGTATTTCCCTATTTACATACGATCAGCTGTGATTGGACACAGCTGATCACATGACCAAGCCGATGTCTTTGGCTCCTTCCATTGATCGGTGATCCGTTGTGTCTGAGAGACACAGCGCACCACCGATGGCCGTGCTGCGCACCCCCGGAGCCGCGCACGTGTGGTTAGAATGGGAGGACATCATATGACGTCCTCCCAGAACGAGAGAACCACCTTGCACCCGTCATTTCCATATATGGTGGGCGGGAGGCGGTTAAAACCAAAACATTTTTAAAATAAGTATGAAAGAGAAGACAAGAAAACTTGTCAGGTTTCTTTCTGATGTCTTTGTCTCATTGGAGAAATTTCTCTTCACTTCTATTCCACTTTAACTTTTTCTGCCACCGACATTGAAATTATGACCATGGCTTTGGGGATGAGGGCTTGTACACACACACCCCTGGCTGTAGGTAGGTGCAGTCTGTATTATCCACTGCAGGTGGTGCTGGACCACAGAGGCAATGCAGAGGGGTGAAGGAAAAACAGGGTTTCTCTATGGCTTCCTCAGTCACACAGGAGTGATCCAGTTGGATGCTCTGGTCCCATGTGACCCAGGCAGCCATCTTGGGTCAAACAGAGTCTATTTAAGAATTTGGCCCAGGGTTTTGGCAAGCTTTATGCAAGTGGCTAGAGTAAAGACAGGTTCCCCATCTGTCAGGGACAGTGCTAGCAATAACGAGAGGTTCCAGAGGAGTAGGGAAAGAGCAGGGACCACGCCTTCCTTGTCAGGAAGCTTCCTTGGGGTTGGACCGGCCAGGTCTCACTTCGCTCCTCGTGGCAGATGCTGTTGGCACCACTGAGTCTTCTTACTGCTGTTTCTTCACTGCAGTCCTGTGAGTGTCCCCAGATGAGCCTCCCCACCCGGGACTGTTTGCACTGTTGAATTGTTCTTACAATATATTGACTTTTGCAAATCGGGACACTTACTGCCCACCAAACCATGCTACACCTACTCAACATGGTGGCTGCAGCCACTGGGAGTATGTGTAAATCTGACAAACCAACTGTCGGTTGTCAGATGGAAGCGATCCAGTGGGTGTGCAGAACACTTCCATACACCCCTGAAACTGCATCCCTCCAAGCTGTAAAACGTAATTTCTGGGTCCTGGTTTCACTGTCCCCAGAAATGGAATGCAGTCTGCACTCCATTAGATTAATTGGAGGACAGCTGAGACATTAGGGGTATTAAGCCCTGGTTCACACTGATGTGGTGTGACAAAATGATTCCTGTGTTTATTCATGTGATCTGCTGCGGGTGTCAATTAAAAGTTGACACCCCAAAAGCAGTTCACAAAATGCAGTTTGTTTGCCTGAATTAGATTGCATGGGTATAAACACCCATGTGATCCGATTCCAAGTGGTGCCTGCACCTTTTTCGTGTGGATGCAATTTGAGTCATACAAAATGAATGTGATCAAACTGCAGCACTCAGAATCACATGTGATTTGCACAGGAATGAGTTGTGAACCAGGGCTAAAGAGAACCTACAACCACAAAATTGCATTCCATAATGATATTTTTGTCTTCCTATGTGATGAAAAAAAAGAGAATAGTAAAAATAGTAGGTAGGTTGCCGTCTGTTGCCCGAGGCCCCTGCCCAGTGGTAGGTTGCCGCATGTTGCCCGAAGCCCCTGCCCAGTGGTAGGTTGCCGTCTGTTGCCCGAGGCCCCTGCCCAGTGGTAGGTTGCCGCATGTTGCCCGAAGCCCCCCAGTGGTAGGTTGCCCTGTTGCCCGGGCCCCTAGCCCAGTGGTTGCCGTCTGTTGCCCGAGGCCCCTGCCCAGTGGTAGGTTGCCGTCTGTTGCCCGAGGCCCCTGCCCAGTGGTAGGTTGCCGTCTGTTGCCCAGGCCCCTGCCCAGTGGTAGGTTTGCCCGAGGCCCAGTGTCCCAGTTAGCCCGTTGCCCGAGTCTCCAATCCGCTGTTCAGTCACGGAGGGAGCTCGGCTGAGGCCCCAAGCCTAGGGGGGGAGATTGCCTGCCTGTCGCTGAAGACCCCCCCGTGCCTGGAATCATCCCTGGTTTGTGCACACATCACCCTCCCTGCCATTTCCCTATTGAGTGTCTGTCAATTTGTTGCTTCAATAAAGTTTTGTGTGTTCCCCATCTTCCCCGTGTGCTCTGTCCTGCCTACGCTTCCGTTACACTGGTAATAGTAAAAAAAAAAAAAATTACACCCAGGCACTAAAATCCCCCCCCCCCCCCCCAAAAAAAAAAATAATAATCCATTTTTGAGCCCATCCCATCCCAACATACATGAACGTACAAACAATTATGAATACACTAGGGACACCTATGCTCAAAAATGTCAGTTGGGCCATACGTGTTACATATAGCCAATATTCAATTCTAAATTGATGACCTGTATGGGGCTTGTAAAGCATTGCCTATGGAAAATATAGGGCACTGAAGTTTGTTGTTTCACAATCGCACACAATTTTATTATTTGAAATGTTGGGTATCTATTTTTTCGGTGCAAACTCTTTTATATTTAATCAAAAATTGGGTAATTTGCTGTGTTTGTCTGCTCTAAAATTAGCTTTAGCCCTGGTTTACACTGGATCTGACTTTGAAATTGTGCGACTCCAACTTCGCACAATTTCAAAGTCGCATGTCAGTAGGACTTGGCAGACATCTGTGTGACTTAATGCAGAGATGTCTAAGCAAATCACAAAAAACAGTGCATGTAACTGTCAAATCGTATGAAAAGTCACACCGGTGTGTACCAGTGCTTACTGTATTTTTTGCAGAAACTGCATTTTCTAAAGCATTGTGCTAATATCGTTTGATATAAAAAATTGGAACTACCACAATTTTATTCTCTAGGATATCTTCTTTCATAAAATGTATAATATTTGGGGGCTTTATATAATCTTCAGGCATAAAATCATTTTTAAACATGTACAAAAAACGCAAAATTGATTCTGGCAGCAGAAGGGTTAGGCAAGCCATAGATGATTCAATTTTTGTTTCCTGCAACCATAACTTGCACAATAGAAAATCGCTTGATTCCCCCATCAACACTGACTGTGTTCTCTCCCACGGAGCTATTGCGTTCTGCCACCAGGGAGCCTTCCCTGCCGGGAGAACACAATGATTACTGCCAGTGGCTATAGCCACTGGCAGTAATCATACGTAAAGAATCTGACAGGCTGGTTGTACCCAAGTTGATAGATGGATACAACCAGCCTGCCCATAGATGGATCGAATCTTGGCCAGCCCCTGCTGAACTGGCCAAATTTGGATCCATCTATGGCCAGCTTTGAAATGGTTGTAAACCCTAACATACACCCAGTGAGATGAAACAAATCCTCCTACATAGGTTGTAGCTGTTAATCAATCTGCAATCTTCTCTTTTTTTTTTTTTTTTTTTTTTTTTTAGTCCGCAAATCTTCTCTTCCTGCATCTATTCGAAGTACAGAATTTATACATCTTGTCTGAGCTTACAGAAAGCAGGGTGTGTGGGGAGCTAAAATGACACTCTGCAGAGCTTAGTGAGAGCTGATTGGAGGGAAGGGACACGCCTCTTTCACACAGCACGCAGGAAGAGCTGAGGCTGTCAATCACAGGCTGTGTGCTGGAGCACCTTTTTTCCTCCTGGTGTCAGAAAACGTTGTCAGAAGTGACTCGTTCAGTTAGCAGAGGAACGAAGCTGCACATAGAAATGACACTTAGTGCTCTTAATTGACACAAGTACAAATTATAGAGAGATATGCTTTTTTCATATTACATGTCTGAGTTTTGCAACCACTTTAAACCGCTTCTGTGCCACCCTATAGAAGAAATCCTGCACAAAATCACATACAGTATATATATATATATATATATATATATATATATATATATATATATATATATACATACACATACACATACATGACTTTGCTGTTCTGGGTCAGTGTCCCTGATCACCGCCACACCAGTTATATGATGACGCTATTCTGCACTGGTGACAGTATGTAAAAAAAAAAAAAAATTTGTGAACATTTTTTAATTTCTTCATTTTCTGAAAAATTATGACAAAAAAAATTACAAGTTCAAAAAACTCGCCATGCCTTATGACATACGTTGGACTGTCTACTTTGCAAAAAAGGGTCATTTGGGGGATATCTGTACTGTTCTGACATTTTTGGGCCTCAAGAAATTAGATTGGCTGTCAGTACTTCAGGATTGATCAATATTCAGATCTATCCCATAGTTTGTGAACTCTATAACTTTCCTGCAGACTAAATAATAATACTGATTTGGGTTATTTTCACCAAAGACATGTAGCAGAATACATCTTGACCTAAATTTATGAAGAACAATTATTTATTTGCAAACTTTTATAACAGAGACAAAGAAACACGTGTTTTTTTTTTCAAAATTTTCTGTGTTTTTTTGTTAATTTAGCAAAGGATAAAAAACCCAGTGTTGATTAAATACCACCAAAAAAAAAAGCTCTAGTTGTATGAACAAAATTATAACATTTTAGTTTGGGTACAGTGTTGCATGATCGCGCAATTGTCATTCAAAGTGTGAGAGCGCTGAAAGCTGAAAATTGGCCTGGGCAGGAAGGGGGTAAAGGTGTCTGGTATTGAACTGGTTAAAGTAGTGAAACTAAAAATTGCCAGGTAAGTAACATTTTTTAGAAGGAAGTCAGCCATGCCAGGCTGCTTATTTTCTCAGTACAGGTTATTAGGTACAGTGCTTGGGTATGGTGGTGAATGAGCTATGTAATGTGACATAAAATTGTTGTCAGCATCTCTTCTCTAAGGACTTCTCATCATCACTTCCTCATATGGACATGATTACAAAATGCACAAATACTGCCAGATTGGTACTTTCATTTCTGCAAACTGCTCTGCTTGTACATTTTATTGGACAACTTACACGAAGCTGAACAAACAGTTTTACCTTGTGATTTTATCAGATGACGGGTGGAACAAATATCTTTTCTGCTTACTTACTGCACTTTATTGACTCGTGTGAAGGATAAATCAAGTGAATGTGTGAAAAAAGCTCATGTTGCCCTAGGCACACATGATATTATTATTGTGTTGTGTTCAAGTTCCTTCCCTTAATTCAAATGAATATATTAGTAAGTA